AACGAACAATAGAGTAAGCAGACTGAGAGTCAAGACCAGAGGTAGGCTCATCGAGGAAGAGAAGCAGAGATGGCTTAGCTGCCAGCTCAACGCCAATGGTCAGCCTCTTACGCTGCTCTACACCAAGGCACACAATGACAGCGTCCTGCAGGTCATTGAGCTCAAGGAGATCAATGATCTTGTCCACATATGCAATCTTCTCAGCACGAGGAACAGAGGCATCCTGTCGCAAGATAGCAGAAAACTCAATGGCCTCTCGTACGGTCTGGGTTGTATCATGAAGATCACCTTGAAGGCAGAATCCAGTATTCCTCTGGAAGTCTGTACTTAAAGGTCGCCCATCCACAAACATCTCACCCGTCACAACGCCAATATTCGTACGTTGCGAAAGAATATTCAGGAGTGTTGTCTTTCCAGCGCCTGATGCTCCCATCAGAGCAACCATAATACCCGGCTTAGCATATCCGCTGACCTTGTTCAGGAGCTTCTTCTCGCCGCCAAGGTAGGGTACAGTGTACTCGATATCGCGCCATGTGAAGATGGACTGGCTGTCGGTAATTTGCTCCAAGGCTTCGTCATCGCTGCCTGGGTTTGGGTCAGCCACGACGCCGGATGAGGCATTGGCACCGTTGCCAACGGCCTTCTCATCATCGACAGGTGCCTCAGCTTCCCGCGCTTGCTCCTTGGCCTTCCGGCTCTTCTTGAAGATCACGGCACCGCCTCCGCCTTCCGCAAAGCTGACCAGCTCTGTTGCCAATACTGTGACGAGGATGTAAAGAACAGCAAAAGCAACAACAACACCAAAGTTTCGCCACAGGTTCGACCGGCTGTAGTTGTAGGTCGCTTTTAGATAATCGCTACCAGAGACTGACTGCGCGTTGACTGCAGCTCCGCTAATCGCACAACCTTGGTACCCTGACTGAACTCCTGGTCCCTGGGGAACGAGTTGAGAGGGAGCACATTCCAGGGTCCTGTCTGACATTTCGTTGGTCAAGACAGCCTCAAAACTATAACTGATGGGGTTAACCCAGTACAGCCAACCAAACCAGATATAGTCCTTTAGCAACTGGGTCTTCGGGATGACGTATCCGGTGTAGATGACGAGCAAATTCAGTGAGATTCCAGAGAATCTCACAGCGGTATCAATTTCGGGAGACAAGCTGGCGAACATGCGGTATAAGGCAGTGACCATGATGGTATTGGTATACACAAATAGCATGTAGATCCAAAACTTGGACACGTCCACGTCAAGCCCGGTCATGAAGTACATGAGGATACCAAAGATGAGGACTTGAACGCCAATGACAGGAAAGTCAAGTAGAACTCGGGCAAGAGAGACGGCAGAGGGGCGGTAGAAAGCGTAGTCATGGTGACGAGCAACAACGGCACGTCCAGAGACAGCCTTCATAAGCTCAGAAAGCTGAAGCCAACCCAGGAAGAGAACAGAAAAGAAGATTGTACCGCCACGGCTAAAAGCGCTTGCAGTGTCTTCAGATTGACCATAAAAGAGAGATCCCACAATAAGACCGTTTGACACAATGATGAAGAGCTTGGTCCACAGGGTCGTGGTATCGCCGAATAAGAGCCAGGCTTCTCGCTTGGTGCACGCAAGGACTTGTCGAGGGAACGAGATGGTATAAGAAGACTTGTCGGAAACGTGCTTGGACTTGGCCTCCTGGACAGCACCCTGGAATCTCTTCGCATCCTGGTAGTTTGACTGTTGGAGGGACTCCTTGTAAGCAGCAACATCAGCCAGTAGCTCCTGGTAGTTGGGTGAGTTTCGGAACGCTGACTCGAGCTCTTCGGCCGTTCGGGGAGCGCGGTGCTCAAATCCGGGCCGGAAACGTCGTTCAGTCGGGTCGGTAACAGCGGTCAAGAAGTCGGCTGTCGTTTGTCGTTCGGGACATTCGAATCCAAGGTCGATAAAATATTGCTTGGCCTTGTTGGCAGGTCCAGAGAAGATCTGACGACCCTGGTCGATGACCAGAACCTTGTCCATCAACTCATAGATACCCTCACCAGCCTGGTACAAGGTAACCAATGTTGTTCGGTTGCTGATATCTGTCATGATACGGAGTGACCTTGCATAGTCGAGGGCAGTAGATGCATCTAGACCTCGAGTGGAGTTATCCCACGCCATGACAGTAGACTTGGAGGCCAGTGTCTCTGCAATTGAAACTCGCTTTCGTTCACCACCAGAAACACCTCGAGTGAAATCATCACCGACGACGGTATCTCTGGTGTGGCTGATACCGAACATCTTCATAAGAGCATCCACAACAATAGGGATGTCCTCCTTCTCCTTGATCTTGGTCTTGTTTGTGAGGGCAAAAGCGAGGGTCTTCCACACGCTCAGAGTAGCGAAGTGAATATCGTCTTCTCCGTTATAATTAACCTCGCCTCGGTAGTGCTTCTTTTGCTCAGCAGCGGGGATACCACTGTAAGAAACCTCGCCCTCGACAGCAGCATATGTCTCGCGGTTGTTGCTGATGGCCTTGAGAAAGGTACTGCAGCCGGAACCTGGCCGTCCTAGGACTAGCATCATCTCTCCATCTCGAACGCAGCCGGTAAAATCATTGATGAGCGTTCGAGTCGGGGGCTTTCCAATCCGGAGAGATGGGAAATACCGAGTAAGCACATGATAGAGATCGGGACCAAAGGTACCAAGAATGGCATCTGGAACTGTTCGAACAAAAGAGGTTGTGCTTCCGACGCCTTTGACAGTCAAATTCTCGTACACAACTCCAACTCGCTTTAAGGATCCCTCCTGCTCAGAGCGCTTTTCGAAGTGACCCTCTCGCATAAATCGTCCCAGTTCAAAACCATCACTCTCCTCGGTGCCAGCTTCAACATCGGTTTTCGAACCGTCATCGTCGGCATCGTTATGGTGTTTTGCTGAGGACGCCCTTCTGCCTGCGTGGGCTCTGCTGGCGTGTGTTTCTGTGGTTCTTGTTTTATGGAGGCTCATTAAGTTGTGTCTTAAAGACTCGAATTCTTGCATGGCGTCCTGTGCGGTGACATCTTCCTGTCCACGTTCACCCCATTTTCCTTCTTGGATGACATCTGTATCGGAGGAGCTGCTGCTTTTGGGCTTATGCTGTCCGCCCTCGACTGTTTGCTGAGAAATAGGAATTTGCTGTTGTTGCCGCATTGATGATTGGGTGCGGCGAAGCGCATCACCATCTACAGTGTTGCCCAACATGTTGACGGCGACGGCACAATGTCAACAACAGAGTGCTGTGTGTATTATGATGGAAAAAAAATATGACGTGCTCGTCCTGTATGCAAAAAGGCAATCAATGCCTTTGATATGGATTGTAATTATCACTAGTTGTCCTATGGGCTGAAGGATGAGAGGGGAGGTAGGTGAAAAGAGGAAGGACCGGTGAAGATAAGCTTCACAGTCGCAGGACAGGCAGGAACGCAGCACGGAGTAATGGCGATTCCCCAACCATTGAGAATAGTGTATTTATAATGACATCTTCTTTAGCATATGCACATTTTTTTAATCCATAGTGACGTAAAGCCGCCTGCCGTACGCTAGGGGAGATGGAAGGGATTGAGAGCGATAGGGTCCAAAATAACTTGCTCACATCTTGTCCAGAATAGGCAATAAAGCCAGCTCGTTCCAGTCACTCTTTTGTGTCACCTTCTCCAGAGCTTAGTTAGCGTGTGGGTAATGGAGTTTAGCTGTTGTTTCCGAATTTTTAATACCCCTTATGTCTACGACACTGTAACGTTATGGATGTTATGGAGCTAATGACTCGGGATCTAAGATAAGGCCCCATATCTTTTACTTTGTCAGATTCAGGCCCCAGTGTAACACCAGGGTACCTAGGGTTGCATGCAGATCCCTACCGTCTATCGGTCGGAAATATAGCGTAAGCCATCGGACTTTAGTGCCTCAAGCTCAGTACATTACGCCTAAACACCGGGCTATCTGAACCCAGGTACTCGTAAGTATCTGGTTGCCTCTGATAATGACAGAGAAGAGTGGGAATTTGCGCCGTGGGAGTCATTGTGATTTACCTTTGATTAACTTGTTGCTGAGAGCAAGTCTAATATTGGTAAGCAACCCTTGACAGGTCCCTGTAGACCCCTGTAGATAGTGGAACAATGGTCAACGCTACTGATGCACATAAGCAACGACTCCCAACGTTATCAGTTAATAATGTCGGTAGTGGATGATTAAAAACCTTCTCTGCCTTCCTACTCCAGGAACTCCAGAAACTCCAGGAACTCCAGGGGGTTGGCTTTCAGCGCAGGCAGCCTCATCGATTACAAATTCTCCAGCCTGGACCTAGTCACAATCACTCATGCTGCTCTGAAGTGCGTTTGTCAGTTCATCATGGAGGAAGCGGACTGAGTAAGCTATTGAGAATAATACTACCAGTTTACTTGAGAAACAGCACCTTTCGTTTGCCCCTCGAATTCGTATCTCAGGTAGGTCCTCTTGCAACTCTTGAGAAGCATATGCATTGATGACTTCGCCTTATCTCCGTGCTTACACGTTGGTAAGAACGTGCAAAGCCAGCATACATGTTACCCTAGAGTTTAATCAAACGCAGCGAAGCTACCATGGACGAGTCTCACGAAGGATTATAAAGACAAACTAGTAAGAAAACATTGGGATGTGGTCTATCATTAATTTGCTTTGTATTTAATTGAGGTCCCCTTTTCCGCTAGTGGTCTTGTATCCAATATTGATCTTAAACTTTGCAAGTTGCTTCACAGCCTTTTGACCGTTGGCCACTGACTAGGTTAAATCTTGGGAAAGATTTTAACACATATTTCAACTTTTTGGAAAAGAAAAGAAGAGAAAAGAAAGACTATATTTTTTCCAAGCAGTAATTCTATGCTTGCTCTCGAATGAATGAAGTGATAATCCAGGATGCCTGCCCAGAGTTGAAAAAGGAGCGCAGCGCGAGAGCAAGAAACGAAGGTTGGGAATAGGAAAGCCTTTATGTACTGTAACCGAGAGCCAGTTTGCCACCACAGAAAGCAGCTTGGCGCAGTGGAAGCGCGGTAAGTTACTCAATCAACTGTACAATAATAAACTTGTACTAACTTGCCTCAGCCGGGCTCATAACCCGGAGGTCACTGGATCGAAACCAGTAGCTGCTAGGTCTACAATTTTTTGCCTTTTCTAGAGAATATCCTTCACTTTTTTTTTTTTAATCTTATTTTAAATATCATACCTCAACGGCGCATCTCGAAATGGGCATTGCGCTGCGGTTCATTCAGCCCTCAAACAGAAAGGATAGTAGAAGTGTAATCGGAGGGACTGACAACAACTCCAACTTACACCTATCTTGATAGCCTAGCCCTCCACCAGAAGAAAACCGCAAGTGTCTATTATATATCTTGATCTAGGAACAAGGGAAGGACTGCCTTGGATGATTATGCCCTGATGATATTTCTCAAATTAGTTATAAATTTCGAGTTTAGTAGCGATGAGTATTGGACTCATGCATGCAGCATGCATCTGTGCCTCAGCTGAAAGATCACCAGGACCATTTCTTTAGGCAACAGCACGGCTTATATATGATATCACTCACTGTCTCGTTGCATTTGAGTTCTCAAGGTAAACATTCACGCCATGGATAAAATAGCGGAAACATGCATCGAATCTACAAACGTCTTGCCTCACTGGCTACCAAATGGTAAAGCATTCTGGTATAAGCAAAGCCCCGAACCAGATAAACACCAGTTCTTCTATGTCGACGTTCTCCAAAAGACTCGCGAGTTGGCGTTTGATCATAAGAGCCTTGCCGAGGCTCTGCAAGAGAAAACAAACGAGAAAGTTGATGCACTTTCTCTACCTCTTTCTTTGATTGAACCAGTACCGGAGGAATCATGCATTCGCTTCCGCTTCGACAGACGCAAATGGCAATTTGGACCCGAGAACAAACTACAAGAGTGGGATGGCATATTCTCGACTGAGCTAGACCATATGTTGGAAAAAGAAGTGCCTTCTTCACATAACCACTCGCAAGTCACAGTTGATTTCGTGAACCGCACAGGAAAAACACTGAGTGTGTTCTGGATTGACTGGAACGCTAAGCCGGTCTTCTACAGGACTATCCGTAATGGCGAGACGAAGCGACAACTTACGTACGTGGGCCATGTTTGGCGACTGGTAGATGCTTCGGATGAGAAGTTCAGGGCAGTTTATGCGGCGCCTGACGAGGGGAGCCATGTCGCCATCATCGAGCGTCTCAGTGATTTGATTCCTGAAGCATCCCCGCCGAGCGATGATGAAGATTCCGATGATACTAAGGAGTCTACTGAGCCCGAAGCTGGTACTCTTTACGTCAAAGATTTCAACCTATGGTACAAAGATGAAGATGGCCAAGTGGCTCAACTATCTGAGAATGGAACCAAGGAGAATCCTTTTGACAAGAACCACCTGTACAAATCACCAGACAACTGTTACGCGGTTGCGTGGCAATACAATCCAGAGCAAGACCACAAAATCAACCTAGTCGAATCATCTCCAAAGGATCAACTTGAGCCAAAACTGCATACTAAGGCGTACCTCAAGCCAGGTGATCGTGTTAGAATCGACAGGCCTCGTCTCTTTGATCTAAAGAGCCACAGCGAAGTCACGACGGACAATACACTTTTCGAGAATCCCTACCGATTGAACAGTCTAGGTTGGAATAGGGACAGTCAGGAGTATCTCTTGTACTTCAACGAGCGTGGCCATCAGCACGTCAGAGTGATAGGCATGAGCACGAGCGGACATGTAAGAGCACTCGTTGAGGAGAAGAGCACCACTTTTGTCGACTATACAAAGGTGTACTATAAAGTCTTCAAAGACACGAACGAGCTTCTCTGGTTAAGTGAGCGAGACGGATACAACCACCTTTATCTCCTCGACCTAGCCACTGGCGCGGTAAAGACTCAAATTACAAAGGGATCGTGGATGGTTAACCTTGTAGAATCTGTCGATGAAGAGCATCGCCGAATTTGGCTCCAGGGTTATGGACTGAAGGATGGCGAAGATCCGTATCACGCACACCTTGCCCGCGTCAATTTTGACGGCTCGGACTTCAAGATTCTTACAGATGGAGATGGGACTCATTCCTGGGCCTTTTCCCCAGACAAACGCTACTTGAAGGACAGCTGGTCGAGAGTTGACTCACCACCTACAACGGTTCTTCGCGACGGCGAGTCTGGGGAAGAGATAATGGAACTAGAGAAAGGGGACTTGAAAGAGCTGGAAGATAAGGGATGGTCTTCTCCGGAAAGATTCGTTGCTGCTGGTCGTGATAGTGAGACTCTGATATATGGAATTATCATTCGGCCAGCCAACTTTGACAAAGCCAAGGAGTATCCCGTTCTTGACAGTATTTACGCTGGACCGCACAACTTCTCTGTCCCCAAAGCCTTCTCAGCTGTTTCACGTCAGCGGCAGTGGGCAGACAAAGGCTACGTCGTAGTCCAGGTCGATGGAATGGGCACAAACTGGCGCGGCAAACGCTTCCACGACGTCTGCTACAAGAACCTCCACGACTCAGGCCTCCCAGACCACATCGCCTGGCTGAAGACCGCAGCATCTACTCGACCCTGGCTGGACCTCTCCCGTGTAGGAATCATGGGCGGATCAGCAGGCGGCCAGAACGCTGTGGCTGGCATGCTTCACCACAGCGAGTTCTTCAAAGCTGCCGTAGCAGACTCGGGCTGCCACGACAATCGCATGGATAAGCTATGGTGGAACGAGTTGTGGATGGGTTATCCAGTGGATGAAGCGTACGAGAAGGCGTCCAACATAACACACGCTGCGAAGCTCAAGGGGGCGCTGATGCTGATTGTCGGAGACCTTGATGATAACGTTGACCCGTCATCGACGTTTCAGTTGGTGAATGCTTTGAATAAGGAGAGGAAGAACTATGAGTTTCTGTTCATTCCTGGGGGTGAGCATTGCTGTGGTGGAGGTGAATATGGTCTTGCTCGTCAGCGGGAGTTTTTCAAGCGTCATTTGCAGGAGAAGATGAGGTTTGAAGTTGATCTACATGATGGAGAAGGGAATTGACAAGAATTGGAATTATTAGATAACTTTTAACAGCAATTTGTTGAATTTGAAAGAGTTGACCCTTTCATAGGCACTTGTCCAACTAACGAATAACCCTTGAACCCCTGTCCGATGTCCCTGAATAGTGCAACGCAAAGGGTCTTTCCTGTGATTCCCCAATACCACAAACATTAACCAACAATCAATTGCTCTACTCAATTGGCAAACCGGGATTGAATAATTGATCCGCTTGGACAGTCCGTTTTGAGGCGCTTGACTTTGCGTTGTATTGGGTAGAGAAAACCATCGAATAACCTGCAGTAGTAACGTGAAAAGTATTGGACAGCTGGCCTTCTGCAATAGGTCCCCTCCTCCACTAAAAAAAAGTACCGTAGAGGTAGGGATGGAGCTGGAGATCTAAAGCTCTAGCCCCAGGAACCGTTACAAACCCCCTGGCCTCTCTTCTTCTTCCTCTCCTCTCCTCTCTCTCTTCCTCTCCTTCTTTTTCTTCATCTATTTATTTTATCTACTTGCTCTTCCTTCTTCAACCCGTTTCACGAGTCGAAGATGAAGATCGAGTACTTGTCTGTCGGGCTGCTCGCCCTCTTCAGCCCCTTGGCCGCGGCCTGGAGCAAAGAAGGTATGTTTTACTTTTACTTTTACTGCTCTGCTTTACTCCCAATCTGAGTAACATGTCTTAACCTTTTCTTCTCCTCCTTTTAGATCGCGAAATCTTCCGCATTCGAGATGAAATCGCAAAGTACGAGACCAACCAGGCCGCCAACTTCTACGACATCCTCGGCGTGCCCTCCTCTGCTTCGCTGGATGATATCACAAAGGCCTACCGCAAGCAGACCCGCAACCTGCACCCCGACAAGGTCAGGCAGGCAATGCGATCGCAGGCCGAGAAGGACAAGAAGAACGGCGCAAACACAAAGCCTCCTACCAATGCCGAGATCAAGACCGCTATCAAGAAGGCCGGCGAGGCTCAGGCCCGTCTCTCCCTTATCGCCAACATCCTTCGTGGCCCCGAGCGCGACCGATACGACCATTTCCTCTCCAATGGCTTCCCTCTCTGGAAGGGCACCGATTACTACTACAACCGATACCGTCCCGGCCTGGGCACGGTCATTGTCGGCCTGTTTATCGTCGTCGGCGGTGGCTTCCACTACCTCACCCTCTACATGAGCTGGAAGCGCCAGACCGAGTTTGTCGAGCGCTACATCAAGTTCGCTAGGGAGACAGCCTGGGGCAATGGTCTTAACATCCCCGGCGTCGATGCTGCTCCTGCTCCGCCCGCCGAACCCGCTCCTGCGCCCGCCAGCGACGAGGAGGAGGCTCCCCCCGTGCCCCAGAACCGACGAGAGCGCCGTATGCAGGAGAAGTTTTCCAAGCGCGATGGTGCTAAGCCCGTCAAGAAGACGCGCCGTGTCCAGCCTCAGGCGCCGTCTGGAACTGCTACTCCTACTCCTGCTGGTGGTCCTACCGGTGCTCGCAAGCGAGTTGTTGCTGAGAATGGCAAGATCCTGGTTGTCGACTCCCTCGGCGACGTGTACCTCGAGGGTGAGGATGACGAGGGAGAAGTCCGCGAGTTCCTCCTTGACGTAAGCTGACCCAATTCCTACGAGAGATCACCAAACTAACATGCGACAGCCCAACGAGCTTGCCAAGCCCACCATGAAGGACACTGCCGTGTTCCGCGCGCCAATCTTCCTCTTCAACATCACCGCTGGACGCTTCCTGCCCAAGAAGAACTCCGAGCTCGCGTACGACGTCTCCGGCGATGAGGACGACTCGGATGTTCCCCAGCCCACTCCCAGCACCGACTCGGCGGGCGAGGACTTTGAGCTTCTGGACAAGAGCACCGATTCGCTCAGCAAGGCCAAGGCTTCTGGCGCTTCGCAGGGCAAGGCCAACAAGCGCAAGGGTAAGAAGAGGTAAAGCAAGTGAGGGTGATGCCTTTTTTCTATTAAAAAGTTGAATGTGACTGGATGAGGAGTTGGTGGGGATATGAGAAATGGATGCTGTATTTCGTCAAACAAAAGAGATGGTTAAGATCTTTATATGCCAGTCATGTTATAGTAGATGCCATTGATGAAAAAGACTA